GGGGAGCCTACCGGCAGGGTGGGTGTTCTCAGTCCCCACGGCATTGGGGGCTAAGGGGAGCCTACCAGCAGGGTGGGTGCTCTCAGTCCGCACGGCGTTGGGGGCTAAGGGGAGCCTCTACCAGCAGGGTGGGTGTGGGAGTGGGGAGCCAGCCAGTCTCTTCTCCGTGCTAAGTTACTGTTGTGGCTTTAACTAAAGCTTCTGTAATACCTGCTTCTTAGAGGAATCCAAATCCCTGTTGCCTTGGGGCCAACTTCGTAATCTTACAAATCTGGATCTAATTTTCACCAAAATCTCAAGGGAAGAGCCGCTGGGACTCAGACAGATAAGCAACACCTGTTATGTGCTGTTCCCATTTTCTCTTTGACTTTGGCGTTGTCCATATTCTTCTTCTGAGCCTAACTGTAGGCTCTTCAGACCGAGCCTACAGTTCTGGAAATAAACCAGTGTGCTGGGGTGGGGCGAGCCTGACCTCCTGCAAGCTGTGCCCCGGCAGCCAGGCTGAGAGGCAGAGCAAGCAGTGCAGGTGGAACCATCGCCTGCTAGCACGTGGGTTCTGGAGGCTGCAGCAGGCAGACTCTGGAAATTCCCTGAGGCCTGTGTTCAGTACAGACAGGGAACTTTTATAGGCACCTGTGGCCTCTTCTGCTGGTGGGAAGGGAGGTGCTATGAGCACTGAGCTGGTTGGAACAGAAGGGCTCTCCTCTCGTGGGCTCTGTCGAGTGAGTCCTGCAACTTCCCCCTGTGGGATTCTGGGGTGCGGTGATGAAGCAGCGCAGAGCTCATCTGAGTGGATGTTTCCCAGGGGAGCCAGTAGTTTTGGAAGCACTTGGTTTTTCCATTCCCATGTCTTGGAGAACTCTTCCCCCCTCCTGAGAGAGAGCGATGAACGTAGGCCTCATGGAGAAGCACAGGTGGGCCTTCCCTGGGCTGTGTGTGGTCTGTGCGGACCTCTGAGGGCCACTTCATTTTGCAGGTAGGGACCCATCTCCCGTTGCTGGTTAGTGCCAGAGCCCACTCCTAGCCCCATCGCGGGGCTGTTTTTCCGCTACAGCAAGATCGGGAAATAAGTAGTAATGAACACTTTGTTGAAGATTTTTGTTTACTTTGAGGTCTTTTATTTCTTGTAATACTGAATTGGTTATATGCTTCGTAGAATTTTTGTTTGTTTGTTTTTTTCTTGAGACAGAATCTCGCTCTGTTGCCCAGGCTGGAGTGCAGTGGTGCCGTCTCGACTCACTTCAAGCTCTGCCTCTCATGTTCACGCCATTGCCATTCTCCTACCTCAGTCTTCTGAGTAGCTGGGACTACAGACGCCCGCCACCAGACTGGCTAATTTTTTGTATTTTTGGTAGAGATGGGGTTTCACCGTGTTAGCCAGGATGGTCTCGATCACCAAGAAATTGAGAAAGAAGATGACAGAACTTTGAAAGTTGAAAGGCAAATGGACAAACAGAGCAGATCTGAACCTAGAAAGCTGTGAGATGCATGTGAGTGTGAGTGTGTGTGTAGTGTGCGTGTGTGTGCATGTGTATTTACCCATGCAGGTCTGTGTGTACACGTGTGTGTGTATGTGTGTGCAGGTGAGTGTGTATATAGGTGCGCACACACGTGTGTGTGTGGGAGGTGTGTGCGTGTGTGGTGTGTGTGCATCTGTTGTATGTGTGTGTGTTGAGGGGACTGGGAAGTGAGTTTCTTGTGTTGCAGACAGTGCCCCCACGTCTTCGGAATGGCGTTACTGTGCGGCTGAACATGGGGAGGCAGTAGAGGTAGTGTTGACATAGGAAAGCTGTGGAAAACCTGTGTGAGGAGTCAGCCTCTCAGCCCTCTCCTACTCAGTCTGCTTCCGCCCTGGAAGGTGACCTGGGAGCCTGCCGTGTGTTGGGGGACTGTCCTAAACGGAAAGCAGGGCACAGGATAGCTTCACCCCAGCCCCTCCTTATTTGGCCCCAGAACACTGGGAACCTAGGAACAGATGCAGGAGGGAGGGAAAGGAGCCACTGGGTGGGTGAGGAAGCTAGACGCTGGGGCCTTGGAGCGTGGCTCCAAGAAAGGCTTGGAGGGTGATGTCAGGATGAGCGGGTCTGCAGTGGTCAGCCCCATGGCTAGGAGTTTAGAAAGAAATCAACCTAAGTTCATAAAGCACCAAGCAAAGCAGTCGGGAGACCCTGATTCCCTGTGAGAAACAGAAACATTGTGCAAGAAGGGAGCTGCAGCATCAGGTGTAGGTACCAGGTGCACAGCTGGCGAGGGGAGTCCTGGAGAGTGGGGAGGAGGGCGAGGTAGGGGCTCAGGAGAGTTGGTGCTCATCTTTTGTAGCAGGAAGCTAACAGCTGATACATAAAATTGTAAGATCACGAATAGCAAATGCAAACTCAGTGATTAGAAATACGGAGATAAAGAAATGCCACAGGAGGCTAAGAGCTCACAGAAAGATTGTGATGTGGGGGACAAGGGAGGGGCAGGGCCACTGCTTTTCATAAGCTTTATCGAATTATTTGCTTTTAAAAACTGTATATTTATAGTTTTATTAAAAATAAAAAATTTTAAAGGTTATATGGGCAAATACTGTTTTGTAAAAAGTTGATGAACCTCAGGCCCTGAGCTCCCTTGCTTGCCCTGCTCCTGCCAGGTCAGACTTCCACTGCCCTTGCCCTCTGGTCCTCTCCACTGCACAGGCCCAGCCTCTGGCTTGGTGAATCTGAGGCAGAGCTTTCTACTCAGGTTGCTTGAGCTCTGCAGCGTTAGGCCTGGTGAGTGCCTCTTGCCCAGTGCTCCAGGGGCTGTGGGGAAATTTCAGTCCAGACTGTCTGCGTCAGGCATTCAGGACACACTTCCATGCCCTGCTTTTTAACTGAATAGTATTCTGCAAAGTGTTCGACCTTACCTAGTTTGAAAACATTATTTTTAGAAGGTTGCATGGTTTCCCATGTATGGATCTAGGTATCATTTATTGGATTATTCCCTTTTTGTTAATTTTTTTCTGATTTCCACTAATATCCGTAATACAAGGTAAACATCCTTGTGCATAAATCCACAGCGGCTTCCTCTCTTTTGTAGGCAGTGTTCACACCTACAGAATTCCTGGGTCAGAGGACATGGACATTTAAAAGAGGCATAATGTG